GTATATGCAATTTAACATGCAAATTCTAAGCTAATTCGTTGAGGAAGCAGGCACTGAAATGCTTTGAAACCAACTCCCTAGCTTGTTCCCATTTATTTTCCATATGTGTCTGTCTAATGCTTTCTCAAGTTAACCTTAGCTGCTGCAACATAAGCTCTTAAAAAACATGGACAAATGAGAAAGGCTGGAGCTGTCAGCTTTCCCCAGAGGCTTGCAAAATAATGATGTCACTAGTGCGTGAGATAAGCAGTGCTATCAACATAACAAAGTGTACAGGAGTCAAATCAGGAGCAGGCTGGTCACTGCTTAGTACGTAGTCTGTATTGATTTTTAAGCATTTGTGGCTCTGGTAGGACAAACTCTGACTGTTATCCAGCTCTAAATACTGCCAAATGCAGAGCTGCTTTTTCAATTCTAATTATCTTGAGAATCATTTGTACCAAGAACTTACGCAGAGTTTGTTAGGAGAGCATAGATTTCAAGTAGATTCTGGGTTCCCTGTAGAGACTATGAGCTCCATGTAGTTTTCACACAAAACTTCACTTTCAATCAGCGTAGAGTGAGACCGACTGGTTTTGTGGTGTAAGCAAGCAGTGTGAGGAAGAAATACGCTCCAGTGATGTGAGGTTAAGCGGAGTCAACATGGAGCCATCTGAGCCTCTTGGTGGGAGCTGGTAGTGATACAGTTGTACTCCTTCACTCAACAAGGAGGCAAGCTGAAATGTCACAGCCACTGCAGAAGGACATTTGTGCCTAGTTCACTAGGCTACATGGCACTCAGAAAATTTGTTTAAAAAACTTCAGTACTTTACTGCTTTTGTGAAGCAGTAAAAACTTGCTTCACCACTTAAATCAGTTGCTTTGTGATGTGCTATTAGGAAACTCTGAGATATTGTTATTGTTCCTTCTGCAGGCAGCAAAAATGAGAAGGTACAAAAGAAAATAACTTTTCTAAGTGGTAAGACACATGGGTTAGCCTTGTCCCACCAACTAAAAAGTCTCTGGAGCTGACACAGAACAAAAGATAAAAATAAAAGCAAACACCTGTAGTCTTCTGTAAAGAAGGGCTTAAAAAGAGGCTAAAAGAGAGTAAAAGAGTAAACTTTTGTTTTTAATTTCCTTTTCCCATCATTTTTAGTAGAGCCATATCACTTTCTTTGCTTCTCAGCTTTATTTTCTGAATCATTTCTTCAAGAAGTGGATTTCTTCTCTTTGCAGTAGTTCTTCTATTTCCATGTGGCTGTGCAAGTCAGACTCCCTGGGCAGAGATTATTGACAACTTTAGGAACCTTTGTAACAGTGCAGGATACAGCGCCACATGGTTAAGCTGGGAACTGTGCAGATCTCGGCTCTGTGGGCTTGCCTTCTCTTCCCAAGCCAGGTTTTGTTCATCTTGGAGTTTTTGCCTCATCCATGTATGCTATGAGCTGCTGGGCAGTGGCTGTTCCCAGTGTCTGTAGGCAGTGCTCGGGCACGGACCTCTGCACTCTGGTTAGGCCTTGGAGTGCAACTGCACTATAAAATAATAGCAGCAGCAATAACAGTAAGCCCTGCTCCAGGCAGTTTGGGTTTTTTCAGCAGAGAACTGTAAACATATGTTTCTGAAAATAAAAACAAGGCCATTCTTTTTGATGGGCATCTCCAACTGCAGGAAGTTAGCGAAGAGTTGCCTGTTTCATGTTTAATCTCAGTACTATTTCAGTTGTATCACTGAATCATAGGTTATAGAATCATAGAATAGTTTGGGTTGGAAGGGACCTTCAAAGGTCATCTAGTCCAACCTCCCTACAACAAGCAGGAACATCTTAAGTTAGATCAGGTTACTCAAACCACATCCAGCTTGGCCTTGAATATCTCCAGGGTGGTGCATCCACCACCACTCTGGGCAACCTGTGCCAGTGTTTTACCACCCTCATCGTAAAGAATTTTTTCCTCACATCCAGCCTGAATCTCCCCTCTTTTAGTTTATAACCATTACCTCTCACCCTATTGCATCAAGCCCCGCTAAAATGTCTCTCCCCATCTTTCTCATAGGCCCCTTTTAAGTACTGAAAGGCCACAATAAGGTGTCCCTAGGGTCTTCTCCAGGCTGAACAACCCCAACTCTTTCAGCCAACTCTTGTCTATCAACAGCATGGCCCAACTCTCTCTATCAACAGCATGACATCAGTATTAAATAGTGGCATACATAGTTACGGTGTATAAGATATGGTTTTGCAAAATTGCAGCTCTCTAAAAGCTGCTTTTTCTGCTGCACAAGACTTTAAATAAGCATCAGTTCAGCCATTGCCTGACATGGCACGTGGTTGGTTTGTGTTGATCCACACTAAGCCATGCTGCAGCAAAGTTGTACTGTCTACCTTTTGAGCCCTTAGCGTTACCACTATGGATGTTCATTAGACTGGCTTAACTACTCAGTTACAAAAGAATTCTCCTCCCTAGGCAATATTTCAAGGCAGCTCCCCAAACTAGTCTGTCTCTTCTGTGGGTCACACAAAGTTCTTCTGAGGGAGGAACAGCCCATTTGGTTCCTGCCTGTCTGTGTCCTTCAGAGATGGCTTGCATGGCCTTGAACCAAAGATAACACCCAAAGATAGCAGACAAGAGCTCTGCTACACTGTGAAGAAGAGAGGAGACCGCTGGCTGCCTGTGGATGCCTTCCTGCTTTGTTCTTTGCTTGAAACTGAAGACAACACCACAAAAAACATGGGGGAGAGGGAGTGGAGGGGGAGGCATATGGATGACTGGAATGACTGGAGAAGGTAGAAAGGGGTTTTCTTTGCTGGAAGTGGGCAGAGATAGCCCTCCCCAACAGAGGTGGGTGGTTTGTGGTTGATTGCTGCCCACTATGCAGCATTGAAGCTGGGGCTTTTCTTACTTGAAGAAGAAAGGGAGGACTGGGCTGAACCAGCCCCTCTTACTCTTTGTGGTCTGCGTGAGCATGCATTTGCAGCCCAGCAGCCCAAGCTTTCTTGGCTGCAGAACCAGCATGTGTGTAGAGGGAAGATAACAGTATTAATTGGGGGACTATAGGGAAAGCCTTCTCAGAACTTATTTATCAGGCAGCTTTCTCCAGCTCTTGTCTGGTTTTATGTCGTGCCCAATCTGTCGGCTGTGCAGTTGGGAGCCACTTCTTTCCAGGCTGTGGACAGCCATCCAGATGGCTGGGGATGTGCTCCCAGACCAAAGCTTCCCATTGCCAAAGCTTCCTTCCTCTTTCCTCAGTGCTGAAGGGGTCCTTCTGCTTTCAAATGTTCAGTGTCCACAGCTGAGCTCTTAACCGAGCCCTGAAGAAGTCAGAAATATACGGCACTGATATAGATTTAGATTTATTGCTCATTATTTCATTACTGCTTATTCAAAGATAGGAATCCTAAAGTTAAATAGGAAGGATTTTGCTCTTTCTTGTCAGAACAATGGGGGGAAAAATAAAAGTCCTTATTGGGATACTGTCAAATAAATTATGGAAAAAAAAAATGCAACCTAAAGTCCTCAGTCATTGTTGGCAAAGAAACTTATCCAAGGTCCATGTATAAAACAGAACATTTTGCTGAAAAATACCCTGTGGTTTTTCTGTAGATATCTTTATATTTTCGTTTTCTCCTAACTCTCCTTTGACTCTGTCTTTTGCAGGTCATGAAAACATACCACATGTATCATGCAGAGAGCATCAGTGCAGAAAGCAAACTGAAGGAGGCAGAGAAGCAAGAAGAAAAACAGATTGGGAGGTCAGGAGACCCTGTTTTTCATATTCGACTAGAAGAAAGGCACCAGAGACGAAGTTCTGTGAAAAAGATTGAAAAAATGAAAGAAAAGGTAAATAATACTTTTATTTAGCTTCATTTGAAGTCAATTCAGTGCATTTCTGGCATTCTTTAGCATGCTATTAGACAGAGAAATCCAGCTGGGAAATAAAATTAAACAAGGTACGCATAATAAACTAGCATTGGGTATAGATAACTTGACAATTGCTTTCAGAGAGGGGAATACTGTATTCCCAGTATAATTCTTACTATATGGTTTGTCACATTGTAACAAAATACTAAGTTACAATTTTGTATTACATTTGTTATATGAATAACAGGCTGGCAATTAACATTTTTTCTTGTTAATAGGAATGTGTGCTTGAATTGTTACTGGTTTTTTTATATATCAAAAAGTGAAGTAATTCAAATACATTAATATACAATCTCTCCCCTAGCGTCAAGCAAAATACTCTGAAAACAAGCTGAAATCTATTAAGGCCCGCAATGAATACCTGCTCACCCTTGAAGCAACCAATGCTTCTGTTTTCAAGTATTATATTCATGACCTTTCGGATTTAATTGACGTAAGTAATGGCACATTTGTTTTTATGTTTATTCTGTTCAGGAATAATGCTTTTTTCTTTCTCATTTTCAAAGGGAATTCATTAGTCATATGGGTTGCCTACAATATGCTTATCGTTTGTAGTATTGTGTGGTATTGCACAAAATAAAGTGCCAATAAGATATTGAACCCATTCTTTTAAAGTTAGAACTTTATTATGTTTTCTCCTCATCTGTCAAGAGGAAAATGACAGGAATAACACCAAAAAGGTAGGCATTTCCATTTTTTACTGTAAAAGGATTTCTGGGGTGCACATTTTTTTTACAAGATAAGCTTCTAGAATGGGCATCCAATAATGGTATCTAACTCAAAAGAAGGCATTTCCTCCCTGTCTTCAAAATCATTTAGTCACATTCATTTTGTCATTGTATCAGGCTTACAGTGCTTTTTATTCCTATTTTATGTAGCTTGCAGAACAGACACAATCAGTCCTGTACTATATACTGTCAACAGAATTCTTACTGATTTTCAGTAAGTTATTGCTGTGAGAACATCCTAGGAGAGTGAGGTTATACACTGATGCTGACTTGTAGAAGCATTTGGCCTTGTGTACCTGTATTACTGACGTTTTTCCATGATACAGAGGCATGTCCCACCCTCTTCGTAAGCTGAATATGTATTTGATAGAGAAGGTTTGGAGACAGCAAACACAATTATAATATTAATTCACTAGCAATGCAGTGTTAATTAAGTTGGTAGGTACATCTCTGTGGCCCATCTGAAATCCTAGCTATTTGAGTATGCTTTCTACTGCAACACTATCATTTGCAGTTTACAGTAGCAAACAACATTCTCATACAGTCATTTCTGGTGCAATGTTTATCTAAAAAATAAGCCAACTAAGCTCTGCTTTATAAAATAGCATAAACTAATACAGCATTTGACAAGAGGTTTCTCATTTCTACAGTCTGGAGAAGCAAGGCTTGATAGAGAAAGGAAAAAATGCCTTATTGAGATGAATGGACTAAAATAGCTGCATAAGTGTGTTTTATTGTATGTTTTCTAAATACTGGGAGTTGGTTTTCTTTGTCATTTCTGTTGGGGTTTTTGTAACTTAGAAAATACTGCCTGATTCTGTTAGGACTTTTTCCTTTTCCCTTTCAGCTTCTTTCACTGGTTTTGATTATTTTCTTTCTTGTTTTGTTCTAAGAGATGGCAATGTATCTTTTTTGTGTTTTCGGTATTTCTCAGTGTCTATATCTCAACATCTCTTCTAGTCCCCTTTCCTACTTACTGTTGCACGTTTTCTCTCTTGCTTGTTCTCTCTAGTTTATTCTGCTGTATACTGCCCCTGTCTAATCTACATGCATGCACCGACACATCCTGCTTCACCCACCTGGCCTGCCCAGGCAATGAAAACATTTACCAGGATCCTGGTAGACAGATGATCAGGGCAGAAAACTAAGGACAAGCAGCATACCTGCTAGGATGCCACCAAGTGAGAAGTTGTCCCTACTTAATGGATGATTTTCTTGATACTGCTTAAAGGATGATGGATTTTTAGCCTGTAGTCAGGGCGTGTCTGAAAAGTGTAAACTTTGAGTTCTTATTGACTACTGGAAGGAAAGAAAGGTCCCTTTCTCCCTCTTCCAGCAACGCCACCCCTCCAGAAGCTGGAAAGGTGCTCATTTTGTCTTCTCTTCTGCCTTCCCTTTTGGAGCTCAGCTTTCCCAGTGAGTGTCTCCAGTGCCTGTTTCTACTTGGTCAAAACTTTCTAGGTTGGAAAGTGCACCTGATTCTTACACATTTCATCAATGTCCTCAGAGGTTGCCATAGCAGTGAAAGCCGAGGGGAGGAACCACAGGCCTGGAGCTTCACAAAGAATTGCAAGGGGAGGAGAAGTGAAGCTCTTTGTACATACGTACACAAAGACAACACTCTGGAGTCAGTGTATGTAAAGATATTTACACAACCATGAAGACTAGAGCTTTCTAACTGCTAGTTTTTAACAGAAATATACATTCTACAATACTTAGTAATGCAGGAAAATTATACCTACTTTGTGTAGCTTTTTCCAAACCGTGGATCAGTGTAGACAATAACATTCTTTTGGCAAAATGGCTTTAGAAATTATTCCTCCTCAAGGAATTTAAATGGAAAGTCTAGCTGCCCTTTGCATCACTGTTTTGTGAGAGGAGGCTGTAAACATGTGCAGCCAGAACTTGCTTCAGATTGTGAGCTTGTTTAAATGAATGTCTTTGAGACGTTTGTATTTAATCAGAATATTCTGTGAAAGTGTTGATATCTAGACAGAGTGTTTGCTGCTTGACAAAGGAAATGCTTTTTGTAAATGCAGAAGTCTTGGCAAGATTTTGGATTATATCACTGAGATATAATATGCATCCCACTGGTCATATGTTGTAATAGTGCAGACTACCTCATTTCTGTAAATCTATTAATGCCATAGTACAATTTGGGGTTTTCAGAGCAGTGGTAGTGATTTCATTCTTTGCCCTCTCTATTTTGTCCCCATCTGCCCGCCTGCCTTTCTGTGCTTCTCTGAACTCTCGATCTCTTTGCCTGTACAGAAGGGGATTACCATTCCTCTGGGTCTGCATTCCAGTTAACATGAAGGGATTTAGATCTCCCCGAGCTGTTGGTATTGCCCATAAATGAAACTGAATGTTTTCCTATCTTACTGAAAAATATGTCAGATAAAAATAAGATGAATATATGAAGGAATGCAGCGAACTGCTCATTATTTTTTCCATAACAAGGTTGGGGAAGGTTGTGGAACTATTTGGTTTTAATTTTACTTTTTTAAACAAAACAAACCCACACTTTTTCATTTGGATTCCACTGCATTTTCCATTTGTGAGACTCATACGGAAAATCCGAAATTGCAGTTCCTCAGCTGAACTCAGTCTGAACTGTTCAAGTCCTTCTTTTTATTAACAAAGCTCAGGGCTTCTGACTTAAAATGATGATGTGTTGTTCATCGTAAGCTCTTGTGATAAAAGCAAGTTAAAATTACTACATGAGTCTTAGCTGGATGTTTTAATGCATGTGGTGAGTTGAGGGGTGGGACTGATATTTGCAAAGAAGTAGGGAGATAAACAGGATTTGATAGACACAGTATGTTTCTGTGCTCTGCATATTGTACTAGAGGAATTTGAATATTCTGTTGAATATTTCTTCTCTGCAGAATTTATAGTGGAATCTAGTTCAAGTGAAGGACAGAGTTAGGTTTTTCTTTATTTGTATCATAAAAAGTAGTAAAGATTGCTATTTGGTTAAATTAAATAAACTTTACCTAGTATGTATAACTTTTTTTTAAGATTGTGGTTTCAGAGAAACAACAGAGCACACGCCCCTGCTAATTTGACTGTTAGTGCCAACATCTGAACATATGGCACATACTATTACTCATTTACATTATGATTTCCATGTAATTGAATTTATTAGATTTATCTGGGTATAAGAGGAAGGTAGAAACCTTTCTTCACCCTCAGTGTACACTCACATGTTCTGAAGATAAATGCTAGGAAATAGTGATCAAAACAATTTGACTGTAGTTCTGATGCTGGAATAAATAAAATAATCATGTGTTGGTCTTTCTTGGAGTGGAGTTTTGCAGTCTTCATGCTTTTGATGGTTCAGAAGTTAAGGAACCTTTAGCTATTATGAACTTAATTTATTCTGTAAAGGTTCTTTGTTAGTCATTCATAGAACCAAGTCTAAAACTAGGGTAGGGTGTGTGCAGCTCACAATCTTTATTACATAAGTCGTCATAAATATGACATGTACAGCCAGATCCCTTTGATTTGAATGTTGATGTCTGTGTAACAAGATGATTAGAAAGTTACTTATTCAGAGGTTGAGGTGCTTTTATTAATTTCTTTCTCCATTGGTATTAGAATTTTATTATTATTCCTGAAATAAAATGAAGAGCAGCTTGGTTGTTGGTTGAAGCTCTGTGCTAAGCACTGCAGTTTATTTTATTCAAGCGTAAATATACTCTGGGGTACAATAAAGACAGTAAATGCTCTTGAGACCGCTTCAGATTTAATTCCAAATAAGAATAAAATGCAAATTATGAAATTAATTTTTCACACATATCCCAAATGCATCACTCATCTCCTTCCGCTTTGCCCAATAGAAAGTCTTTATGAATCCAGAAATGCAATAAAACTCATAGTGTATGACTTCATTCTCTCATTTCTTATCTTCATGTCTTGCTGCACCGACATCTCATCTCTTTGATTAGTGAACCTCAAAGATTCATATTTATTTTGGCTAACAGTGTGGTTGCTTGCTTGAGCTTCACAAATCTTTCTACAAAACTACAGATTTTTCCTGAAAATTGTGTGTACATTCGTGCACACATGTGTGTGTATGTGCATACATTTGTACTTTGTCACAACACCAGAAAGGTTGGTAGTTTTTTTTCCAAGCATGGTCAGACAGGATGTGGTGAGGACAGCAGTTCAGTCACAGTAATTTTATTCATACTAAATCTATTTTTACTTAAATCGTTGAAAGCAAAATTTCTAATTCGGGCATTTTAAATTCCTGGTAATAAAGCATTAGTTCAGGTTCTGGATTTAGTTCTTGTTTGTTCAGCTAGCATTGGCATTGCAAGAAAATGCCTTAGTCTGGTGGGATACTCTGCTTCACCCGAATTCTTTTTCTTGGCTGAGAGGCCATATTTGTTACCCTGTTCAGCTGTCACCGCCTGCAAAAGATGATCATGGTTACTGAGTAGATTAAGGGTTAAATTGTGAAGTTCTTGGTACTGTCACAACATAAAGGCTGCAGTCTTACGTTCCAGCCTGCAAAAAAGCTGCATCAGAAACCCACACAGCTCACTGTAAATCAATAAGATTTCTACTAATACTCAGATTAATCTTCTAGAGCCAAAATTCAGGCTTTAGATGCCTGTAGCTTTATAGTACATGGATAGTTGGCTATGCTAAACCTCTATTTCCCTCTCTTTCTAATTTCCTCTCAGTTTAATCTTCCATGAAGTCTCTCTGAAACTAATGCACATGAAATAAAACAGCTGTCCTGATCTACTTCCTTATCAGCACTTTTAGCCTGTCTTTTTCATCCAAGATAGTGAATTAAATATGAGATCTGACTTGATGTAGAACAAGAGAAAAACACCAAGAGACTTTTCCTTTTAGAAACAATATTTTTTGGGCTGGAGATCTTTGAAATATGGATGTGCTTTAGTATAAAAGTTGAGTAGCTGTTTTAGTAAGTGTAACACAAATTGCCATTCTACAAATGCAAGAGAGAGGTTAACCTGTGTATGTTTGATTGAACACGACATCTATTTTCCATTTTCTTTAAATGGTTCAGCAACTGTTTTTTGGAGAGCCTCTGTCCCATCCACAGTAACTACTTGGTGTTCTCACTAGGACTGAAAGCTTAGTCTTTCTGAAATTTTCATTGTGAATAAAACAGCCCTCTGTTGTCAGATTTGAGAGAGCAGCTTGATTGCTAGTCATAACTGCACCAGTGCAAGGTGTGAGGGTTTTCTTTCTCTTCTAGACACAGGTTTAGGTATGGTAAATAGGTTGAAAACTCTTTCCCATGCAGTGTGTGCATCTGTCTGCCTGTCTTTCTCTCTCTCATTTTCTCTCCTTTTTCAAATAAGTAAGAGGAAAGGGAGGGGAACATGATCCCCTGAATCCTAAGGGTTTGTGAGGGAGGTATGCATATAAACAGTGCACATATACATATAGCCTACAGTGGACTGAATTCAAATTGCTTCTTTACCCAGTTGCATCACTTAACTTGTGAGTCCTGCAGGGAAGTATGATTTTAAATTGCAGGTGGGCACCCAGGGTGGGTGGCTGGAGGCTGAGGGATGCCCTAAAGCAGCGTGCTCTCTGACTGTCCTAGGCAGGCACTATCATCTGACTGGGACAAACCTCTCTTGTTTGAATAAAGAACATATTGCTTTGTATGCAACTGTTAGCAGACTGATGTGCCACTATTGAGGTGACAGAGATGTCTGTGATATTTCACCTGGAAGCTCACCAAGCAGAAGCTGAGGGTGTAATTTACTGTGTAATGTGGGGAAAAAGTTAAGGAAAATATCACTTGATATATTACTGCCGTGACATTAAAAAAATATATTCACATGTTCCTCTGAAATATTAACCAATCATGAATAATGCAAGGTGAGGATGTTTAAAATTCAAGAACAAACACAAATTTATGTTCTACCAATTAGGTTTCAATTACATTCCAGTGGTATTCTCACCCCTAGAAAAAAAAAGCATAAATTATGGCTTTCTTCATTTAGTAACATAATGTGCATTGCTGTCTCTGTCAGAGCATGGGAAATAAGGTGTTTACAGTAAATACATTTTCACTTTCAAGGAGAGGATGTTAAACCATTCTTACTGGATCAAAAAGCATGCTAGATGGGTCACTAATGCTAGAGGCAGTTGTAGGGGGGTTTGTTTGGGCACAGACATGGTGAGCCAAAATTGCTTCATTTTCAGTTTGCTGCTGGCATTGACTTAGATGGCAGAGTTATGGCAGGGTGGGTTTAAAGAGGTGATCCGAGGCTTACATTTGACAATAATACTGAAAAGCCCACTTGTGTGTGGACACCCAGACCTTTTCTGTGTAAATACAGTGACTGCACATCTGTATCTGATAAATTCAGACATATTGCCATACACGTACACTTGTTCTCTTTCTGAAACTGTCCTTTCATCTTTACAACAGAATGAGGGTACTAAATACTTACTGTCTTGACCCCCATACTTCAAAGACAATAATTTCAGGACAGAAAATTTTAGTAATAATTAGATATTGGGATGGTGTTCCTTTTAATTTGTTTTCTTTTCCCTTTATTGTGTTTTTAGTGTTGTGACCTTGGATACCATGCTAGTCTTAACAGAGCCCTAAGGACGTACCTTTCTGCAGAGTATAACCTTGAAACTTCCAGGCATGAGGGCTTAGACATCATTGAAAATGCAGTTGACAGCTTAGAGCCACGAAGTGACAAGCAGAGATTCATGGAAATGTACCCCACCGCTTTTTGTCCACCGATGAAATTTGAGTTCCAGTCTCATATGGGTGATGAGGTCTGTATACTGACAACTACCCCCACGATGACTGTTTCTGTTTCTATATAGCAAGTAGAGAATTTATCCCCTTTTACAGAGTTCAGTAAGAGCTGTTATTGCTACCCAAAAGTAAGTGGATCAGCAATAACATTTTGCAAAATTGTCAGTGCTGTTCTGAGTTTCTTTGGAGTTCTCAAGTAAAAACGGTTGTATGTTATTATGTCTGTATGTTATTATGTCTGTATTGCTCACATTGCAGTGAATTGCTGGCTAACTTGTGTTCAGCCCAACATTGGTGTAAATACTGGTTTTATGTCTTCACTACTTACCTCACCCATAATAGAGCTTGTGGGTGTTATTTGAGAGCAGCTGCTCCAAACTGTGTTCTCTGAAATGCAGCCTTTTCCCCTTCTTTTTCCCCATTTTATTATCTGGAGATTTCAAGCATACATGTCACCCCAGCTGTGCTCTGTTCTGCTACGCCAAAGACCAGTAGCAAAGCAGAATGCAGTATCACCTGTACACATCTTTTATCTGAAAGTAACTCCAGGGTTTGCATTTCTGTGTGATAAGAGAAGCAATGCAGAGCAGCCATAGAACAAGGCTTTGCTCTGTAGTCATAAGATGCGGTACGTAGTTCCACACCTTGTAACGCATAATACTTTAAATTTAGATGGACGCAATTTATTGTATGCTTTATTAAGCTGCAATAGATATAGTAGGAATTCACCTACTTTTCAGGAGAGCAACCAAAGACTGCTGACTGTTTTATAAATTCCTTGCATCTCACAGCTATTCTTGATTCTTTGTTAGGTTTGTCAGGTCACTGCCCAGCAACCTGTGCAAGCAGAGCTTCTGCTTAGGTATCAGCAACTACAATCACGATTGGCCACACTGAAAATCGAAAATGAGGAGGTAAGATCTGTGTCTACAAGGTACACCATTTTCAGGAAGGTGCAGTGTTCTCTATCAAAAGCATGCACATATCTTGAAATGGCTTCAATCTGTATGAGCTATTTTAATTTTTAAAATCAAATACTGGCAAATACGCTAAGGTAGGTCCTTGTCTGCTTTATAGAGGTTTGGGAACTTCATCCTTTACCTGTCTGTACATTCACACTACTGAGTTCTGTGTTTTGCAGATGTTTCTTGTAAACATTTTTCTAAAGTTTTGTGGCAGAAACCCACCATGTAACAGTTACTGTCGTTTGTGACCACCGTTTGTACAGTCCTCAAATTGCTACTACTGTAGTACAAAGGAATTTGACTGTCTTTTGTGGTAGCTGTGTCAAAATCTCTTGTGCTCTCAGCTACAGCTATTTCTAAACACAAGTACTGAATGACTGTGACAGGAATAGCTCACCCAGTAAAATAAAACGCCTCTTTCTTTTTTTTTTTTTTTTAAATAAAGAAAAGCTGTGCTGTTCTTTTCCCCCTGCTCTGGCAGCAGAGAGGGAGGGGCCTCCCAGTGGGTTTAAATTACACTCTATTATAGAGGCCGTTAGTTTAAACGAGAATCTGTTCCTAAATTAAAACATAGGGATAATTTAATTTCTTGCTGTGCTTTTCTGATAAGTTTTCAAGATTCCGGTTTTTCTCATTCTATGTTATATGCTGAATGCCTAGAACAAAGCGTTAATGTCCATGAGACATGTCTTAAAAAAACCCCACTTGAATTCAGAAAGTATCTCAAGGTAACAAAGACAAAAGGTAGGAGAAAGATTGTTTCTTTCAGTAAAGTGAAGTGCCAGGGACATAGGAAGAGAAATCATGTAGGCAAGCATGGAAAGGGTATTTGCCCACACTGGAGACGTGTATAGAAGTGAGCAGGATTTGGTTAAGCTGACTCTATTAGAGACTCTTTTGAGGCAGAACTGGGAGGTAAAGCACATTCTTGTTAACCTTGCCTGTTACTTTATTGCATTGCACTGCATTCCCAGTTCCAGGGCCTCCATGCCCTGATTCTCACTATGAGTGATGATGCTCCATAGCTCATAGGAAGTGCTGTAAGGCTGGTATACATTGTTCTTTCTCCAGGCCCCCTCCTCCACCTGTGTATTCCATTTCTGCAGTTTAAACTCCACTGTGCTCTTTACTATAGCAGTCATGTCACAGATTTTTATCTTGGAAGAACATGTTGAACTGAGAGGCAGGTCCTTGAATGTACATATTCAATCCAACATATTGACCACACTTAGGAGAGTTGACCCTTCAGAGCTTTGTATCATCTCTACTGCCTCCCAGATTAGGAACCATAATCAAATCATGTCACATTTCAATTCTAATTGCAGGAAACAAATGCTTGAAAGTGCTGTACAGTCAACACAAGAGTACATCCATATTTGTAGATTGGTCCATGGTAAAGCAGAGAACTAGGTAGAAAACCTAATCATGTCATTCTTCTGTTATAGTATGTAAAACCTAACTTTTCACGTTCGCACACCAATTTGTTTGGGACAGTGTGCCAGAGAATTATTTTGAGTAATGAGCTTCTGTACTAAACTGTTCTGATACATATTTATCTTGCATTTGGCAAATTGTGCTTTTTAATGACAGGTTAAGAAAACAACAGAGGCTACCCTGCAGACAATACAAGATATGGTCACCATTGAAGACTATGATGTGTCAGAGTGTTTCCAGCACAGTCGCTCAACAGAGTCTGTGAAGTCAACAGTCTCTGAGACATACCTGAGTAAGCCTAGCATTGCAAAAAGAAGAGCTAACCAGCAGGAAACAGAGCAGTTCTATTTCATGGTATGTTGATTGCTTCCCCATTCATATGATACTGACTAAATATATGGAGTAAACATTATGCAGAAGTTCCTGGAATTTATGTGCCATACATAGTAATAATTGATCTGCATCTCTACAGAAATTCAGAGAATATCTGGAAGGTAGTAATCTCATCACTAAACTTCAAGCAAAACATGACTTGCTGCAGAGGACGCTTGGAGAAGGTAAATAGCACACAATAAACTGAAAAGTGATTCCAGAATATACAATGAACCACTGAAATGCCAAAGGTATGCAGGAAAAAAGTTAGAAAACTTAAAGCTTAATTGTCCAGTAAGCATAGGTTTGATTTTTACCAGTCATAGTTTTGGTGTCGTGCTAAAAGTAGACACTATAAATTGATTTTATTTCTTCAACAGATATTTATTTCCTCTGCATAGACGTTTAAACAAGTGGCTATATTTGGAAATGGAACTGTGAATGAAAAATCTCGTGTCTGAAAGGAGAGCTGACACAGTCAGTGCAGCATGATTTGAGAGCTGTGACAAATGTGCCGTTTCTACTTCCCAGTGATTTCTGTTGACTTGAGGGTTTTTTAAGAGTTGGGCAAGAGTGATACTTTTTTAAGCATACAAAATTATCCATGGTGCATCTCTTACAGTGGACTCACTACTGCAACATTTCTGACACATGGATGTGAATGTCCTTTGTGCAGCCTGACAGCTCAATGGTACATTTATGAAAGATACATGGTGAAATCCTGACCTCACTGATGTCAGTAGTGAGATTCTTATGGACTTAATTTAAATTGGGTTTCTAGAAAGTATTTGTGTGTTGTAAACTTGAATGAATGAAAACTCAGTGAATAGCTCTATACCTGTTGATTGTCATTAATGCATATAAAATTACTGTATTACGAATTATGTTAGCAGACAATTATGCATTGTCCTGAACACTTTCCACAATTTTTGAAAATACATCTTAATATATAAACCAAGTGAGCAGATGTCCATGATCAAATGAAGTAAAGCTGAATTAGGGCAGTAGTGAATCAGGGACTATGCTCAGCTCCATCTGTCTCAACAGAAGCTTCCTCATGGAGTAAAGGGAAAAGGAAAATCACACTGCAAGCCTTGAGGACTAGCCACACAGAGCATTACAGACTTGAGAGGAAGTGAATTACACTGCAAAGAGTAAAATTCCTCTCCTGAAAGTTAAAGACTATAATTCAAAGATCAGACTCCAGAAAGGAAACTTGTTCTCTAAAGAGTGTCTCTAAAGGATGTGTCCATCTATTTTCATTAGACGACCAAGTGTCTGTTACTAATCAGATTTCTTCTTGCTTTTAATATAAAAGCAGATCCACAAATCCAGTTGTGGAGGTGCCTAAAGAACTATTAACAGTTAAGTGGCTGTGACCCAAAGCCCTTGTCCAGGGAGTGACTGAGGTTGGGGGTAGGAGGTAAACAGCATTTTCTTGCAAGGCTGGACTGTAGAAGATGGTAGCTGGTTTTAGACAACTAACTACATTGTGTTCTTTCTCATGGAATTTTTAATTTAATAGGATTTTCATTTAATGTGTGCATTGAACAGTTTATCACACAAAACACTGTGCAGCTGATCTTAGTTAGAAGAGGACAATTTTCCTCCAAAGTCCCACAGAAAATGTATTTGGAAAACTAAAGTGTGTATTTGTTATTTGGAAGCCCGGTAAAATGCATGATCATCTACTGAAGGGAGAAAGATGCATGTTAGAAAGAAATAAGGAAAGAACAGTACGAAAGAAAATCCAAGGAAAAGCTTCTCAGCAGGGTGACCTAAGTGATAAACTGCTGTCAGGCTCTGGGCTGTTCTGCCTTGCTCAGGCATGCTTGAACTGTTCTGTCTGAGGAGTTCCCTTCGACCCACCAGCTGTAACCCCAAGTAGTTAATCTGTGTTGCCCACAGTGGTTTTGCACGTGGTTGTTGTCACATCATCATAGCATAGCACATACAAATAGTACCCAAAATGTACATTCAAAGCTGGTATTTCGAGCAAAAGCCATCATTCTTACAGGTTAAAAAGTCCACGTACCCCCTTCTATTGAGTTATGTCCTGCATTAAATGCACATGCCTGGGAACGAGGAGCTGGATTCTGCACATTCCATGAATGGGGGAGATTGAATGGATATAATTACAGTGGAATTATGAACATTATTGCTGTAGCTAGCATAGAAATTAATTTGTAGGAAGTGAACTGCTCTTCTGCTCCACTTTGCCTTTTCTGGAAACTTTCGTGTCAGCAAGACAGCAGACAAATAACAGGGGGTGCTATGCTAAGTAATGCAGGAGAGAATGGGGGAGAGGGAGAGGATTGTCTGAAGTGCAAGTTTTCCTTTGGCACCCTCTCTTGCTTTTATTTAAACATGTACAATGTAAGGATGTAGGCTGAAAAAATCCAGATTTCCATCTGGTGTCCACAACATTGACAGCTTCTGGCTTCTGTTCCAGTTCATCACCAGCCTACTACAGTCTGTTGCTGTTTATGGACACAGCAGATACATATTCATGATCTGCACAAGGGAGATAGATGAAACGCTCTGTGCTGAGCCTGCATCTACAAATTTGGAAAAGTAAATGAGAAATACTCAAATGAAATTGATACTAAACATAGGAAGCTCACTGATACTCACTAATTCTGACCCAAGGCTCATCTATTTAATGAATGAATGAATGAACAAAGCAAAGGGAAATGCAAGAAAGAGAACAAGCAGTTGTAAAAGAAATTGCCCCTGTGTCCCAGATAGTTTTTCGTCCTAATCTGTTAAATATCAGAGATGTGTTTAAAATCCCACAGATGTGGGATTTGTAACATCTTTTGTTTTACTAGCTTATATTCTTGAGATTCTTAGACTCAATGAACTTCCATGAGTAAGCAGAAGTCCCTGGCTTACCCTTTTTCTGGCATAGGTTATTTTACATACTCCTATTTCATCCCTCTTTTCTACCTCTCTAAAATAGATGCCAGCAATCTTTACATGTCTTACTAATGCCAGATATTTTCCCAAAGCTTATTCTTTATGCTACCTTCTATGGATCTCCACTTTTCTGGTTCTGCAAACTTTATATTCAGATTAGGGTTTTCAGTACTGTGCAGTATTTCAGGTGCACCTGGACATTGACACATAATGTTATGTTTTGCATATCGCTGTTTTTCATTCTTTCTGCAGTGTGACAAGCTTTCAAATTGCGTGGTGTACTTAGACGTAGCCCAAGTGATGCTCAGGGTGGTTTTCAGAGTCACTATAATTATCTGTAGTTTTGTTAGCTGCATAGGTGTTTAATCCTTTCTTCCCTAATATCTTACTTCAACATGTTACACTGCCTTTCGTTTGCCATTTTGTGTTTTGTTCCTTAACATGGTTAAACCTCTCTGAAGGGCTTCACAGTTTTGTCAGGACAAAACTGTACAAAAGTATTTCAGTCATCTGCACAATATTCTGCCTCCTTAGCCACTGTGATCTCCCCAGGACATCAGTAAATGTATTGTGTATTACATAAATGGTCCTAATGGGAAGGCTTGAGTAAATGACTGTTACACTCTTGTCATGATGAAAAAAAAAAAAAAAGACCTTTTAATTCCACTCAGTTTCCCTTTTCTTCACTAGTTTTTGATCAATGAGAATATTTTGCCACTTAATCCATGGCTGTTTAGTTGCTTCACTTGCCTCTTGTGAAGAAGCTTATCACGTGCCTTCAAAGTCTTAAGTAAATTAATTCAACTGATTTTCCTTTATCTAACTGACATGTTCAAAGAGTTCAAATAAATTAATAGGGCACAATCCCCTTTGGGAAAAAAGGGCTGGTTGGAACTTACCATGCCATGACGTTCATACTGTTTCATTATTCTGCTTTTCATTGTCATGAGCTGACATGGTGCACATGCCTGACTTACTGGTCTGTTGCTCTGCAAAGGCTACCCAGGAACCTTCCTGGCATACAGTGTTTGTTTCTTTACAATTCTCTGCAGTTCTCTGTGGTGTTTCCCAGTGGTAGTGTTGTATTTTTTTCCTGCAATACACAGACAAAAGAGAGGAAGGAGTCTTTCAATCATAAGCCATTGGTGTCTAGAGCTCTGTATTTCCAGCACTGAACAGGTTTAGGCACAAGGGGAGATGTAATCCAATCTTGGCACAGCTCTGTTTCCATACAGATTTAGCCACTAAAACACTTGAGCACAAATAATAGACACTATTTGGATTTTTACTTCAAATTATTTACAATATCAAGTGACTCTTTAATATATGGTCAGGCTTCTTAAAAGTTGTTCCATAAACATGGGTTGTGTTTGTATTTTAAACGTAACTGTGGAGATGTTGGATAACTGCACTGCCCTGTTTGTTGTATAATTGTATATCTTTTGCTGGTAAAATGAAAGTTAGGGTTAAAAGTAACTTGCCAAGAGTAATCTAGATTTAAAGACATCTACCTGAAACCTACAACTGATCATTTCGTGTTTGTTGACCTTTTCTAGGTCACAGGGCAGAATACATGACCACAAGGTAAGATATCTTTATTTGACTTCATTTAGAGTTACAAATGTAACAAAATATTAGAAATTACAAATTTTAGAACAGGTTCATATGGGTATTTAACATCCATTTTGTTGCTGCTGTTACGTAAATTGCATACAGGCCCTGTGTGTTTTAACATTCAGCATTTCTGTTTGAGCATGCTGTTCATTAAGACTGTTCATCTTCCTCATTTTTGTGAGCTGCTTAGGCCAGTGTCAAGGTGGCAAAAGCTGGGAGATCCTTAAAAATATTTGTGAATCACACATCAAATTTAGAACTTACAGGGGGCTGTTTGGTGCTTGAAAAGAAGTATTTTTCAGTTGCTAGAGATACCTTGCCTCTCACGGTTTGTAATCACTTGGTCAGGATACACGGTTCGGAAGAACCTAATACAGAGATGAATTTACGGGATATGCTGCATCTTTAGTAACATAGCTCTGAGCAGGAATACCTGCCCTCCCCAGCATCCATGAGTTCAATATTAAATGGGTCTATATATTCGCAGAAGACAAAGGGACATTGTGTTAGATCTCCCTGGTTTATATAGCACATACTTTTTCAGTTGTGTAATGCCAAACCTGTGACTTGTCTCCAGACACAAACACAGAGGAGCACTGCAGCCCTCAGGGTATCAGACTGTGGGGGGCAATGACAACTGTTTGAATTTGCAGCTGCCACTTGTATGTATGTCCTGGGTTCAGCTGTAGCAGTCATTTTTTCTCCTTCTTAGTAGCTGGTACAGTGCTGTGTTTTTGACTTTCAGCCTGGGAACCGTGCCGTTATAAAATCATAGAATGGTTTGGGTTGGAAAGGACTTCAAGATCATCTAGTTCCAACCCACCTGCCATGGGCAGGGACACCTCACACTAGACCATGTCGCCCAAGGCTCTGTCCAACCTGTTCTTGAACACTGACAGGGTTGGAGCATTCGCAACTTCCTTGGGCAGCCTGTTCCAATGCCTCACCACCCTCACAGTAAAGAACTTCATTATATCTAACTTGAATTTCCCCTGTTTAAGTTTAAACCCATTACCCCTTGTCCTACCCCTACAGTCCCTAATGAAGAGTCCCTCTCCAACCTCCCTAATGAAGAGTCCCTTCCCTTTTCTCTGAAAGAGAAGCTATGCAGCTTCTCTTTCCCAGGCTGAACAGCCCCAACTTTCTCAGCCTTCGTACGAGAAGTGCTCCAGTCCTCATGGCCCTCCTCTGGACTTGCTCCAACATCTCCATGTCCTTATGTTAAGGACACCAGAACTGTACACAATACTCCAAGCAGGGTCTCACAAGAGCAGAGTAGAGGGGCAGGATCACCTCCTTCGACCTGCTGGTCATGCTCCTTTTCATGCAGCCCTATCACTGCTAGAGGCACCATGCTTCCAGTCCTGGTGAGAGCAGGAACATCCAGAACAGCTTTCCTGGTCTTACTCTTCCCTTTCCATGCCATATATCCTTGCACAATGCCTTCTCTTCCTCCTTGTTGGTTCCTGGATGGAATGGCCTTGCTGCCACCCCTCATCTTTGGATTAATAAATAAATAAATAAATAGAAAAAGTCTTGCCCTCCAGATAAAAAGTTTGGATCTAGCTCTGGATCTTCCTTTGCTGGATCACTTGGTTTTGCATAATTTCTTCTGCCTGGTCCTCATATTCCTGGGGATATCTCTACAGACTTCAGATTAGCCTTTCTCCCACTACTTCATGGTCCATTTTAGCTCTGTAAAGTTGGACTTAATTCCTTTCCTTACATGACCCCAGTTAAAAAGCAGTAACAAAATAAAGCATCCATCCGAATTGCTGACATTAATTCTGAGATCTGTGCCTTTAACTCTGTCCCCAAATGCTACCAGGAATGCATAGAAGCCAGTAAGCTTAAGCTTATGTCTAATGTAGAAAATGTTCTTTCTTGACTCCAGAGCAGGTGACTCCAAAGGCTCACATCATCCTAAATCCCTGCTGTGTAAGCAACTAAAAGAAGATGATGGATTTAGGCAATGATTTTACCTTAGTAAAGTGGGGAAGCAGCTTGAAGCCATCTTACCTCCTATCTTCTAACAGCTGGTCACTATGAGAAAGAAACACTCAGGGAACAGGGCTTACCCATCTGTTCCTCAGGGCCGGTTCCCCCCCTTCAGCTGGAACCTGCCTGTTGCCCCTAGGTTCAGTTAAAGTTTCCAGACTGTAAAGCATGCAAATGGAAATGTTCTTCAAGGTCAAAGTTAAATTGTAGAAGGGAAGAGGGTATCTTTAAAGATTATTCTAAAATAGCAGGTAGTACCCAAACAGACCAAAGTCCCACTGTTTAATCTTCTGTGTGTTATTGTTCCTCACTGTTTCCACTGAAACATTCAAATTTTTGCTAATTCATGAAAAACATGTAGAAACATTGAACTGCTGGTGCAGGGAACTAGGGAAGCTGTTGGCATGTAGCTGTTGGCATGACATTCACAAAATAAGTTGTGACCTAGAAGACAATGTTTATTTCCTGTATTCTCAGTTGTAGTCATCACAAGTGTAACAATGCGTAAACATTTGCAGCCTAAAGTTTTGTGTGTTCTTCCTTTTCTTTTTTTTTCTTTATGCTGCTTTTGTTTATTTGTTTCTAGTTGCTTATATTCTTTTCATTCCTTTAGCTAATTTGCAAGGTGTTTCTTTTCTTGTGTGAAGATGCTGATGGTTGGATGTGGAAGGCTAAAGCTGTTTAACCTTCCTGGCTCCAATTGAAAATGCGGATGGTTTGGTTTTGAAGCATGTTAGGAGTGTACTGAGCAGTGTTAATTTGCCTTTGAAGCTTCTCCAGCATGAAGCAACTTCTCCGCTTGATAAGAGGTGCTTCGAGTGGCCTGTGTTCTGCTGCAGCTGGCAGGATGAATTCCAGTGGTTGCTGCACATTTCATGCATGACCACAACAAAAAAAGGTCATTCCGATTGTGCAGTGTTTAGAATAAATGTATGGTAAAACTGCAAAGCAGGGATTCATAAAGAATGTCATTATTTAACCATAAGTAATGTGTTTTTAATGGAGGAGTTCTCCACTCTTTAATCACTGTTAGACTTAAATTTGATGGAAAGTATTTGATAAGTTCTCTGTTTATTTTTCCCTTTACAGTGTTCTATTATTTTGCCGTGAGATTACAGACATTTCATTTTATTGTATGATTTTAATTCTACCTTTCTCAGTAATCATATTCCCTTCCCTTAGGCCTCCAAATCTTCCCCCTAAGCCCCAGAAACACAGGAGGCCCAGACCCCGATCACAGTGTAGTGCTAAGTTGTTTAATGGTGATTTGGAGTCATTCATCAAGGTACTGGCACCAGCCACCCCAGTGGCTGATCTCAACACTTCTTACTATAATGGTCACCACCTCACGTGAGCTGAGGCAGATCATTATATGTAAGTCTGTCCTGGGGCTCTTTTCTTTCCCGGTTGATCAATATAATACTTCCTGAAG